TGTTTCTACTACTTTAAAAACTTCACGACACTCCTTACTAGGAAATAAGGTATATTTTTTAGAATGAAATTCTTATTTCCTCCAAAACTCTCCCCCTTGTCCTCGGTCTTCATCTTCCTTTTAAGGATGCTTGTACTATCCTAGAATTAATCCTGTCCTCAGTCAGACTGCTGGCAGTTCATGAAAGGTTTGTTGTCTCTAACTGAAGCCTGAGCTTAGCACATCAGCCACATTTGCCTCTTAGAAAGTCCTGATGACAGATTTAAAGGATGAGATTTCCTCTCCATCTTATTCTACTTTTTCTTCCTTTTTCCTTTGGCCATTTTGTTTAGCTTTGCTCTACCATCTTCAAAAGTCACCAGAATAACAGCTAGAAGATATGGAGTAGAGAATGCTGCAGAATATAACATCCCAACGACCTACCCCTCTGGTGACCAAGGTTGTTTATTCCATAAAAGTTCGGCACATTAAAAAAGTTTATAGAAGCTCTGTAGAGCCAACCCCTCACTCCTTTCCCAGAGGAAAGAGGTTGACATTTCTGGACATTTGCTTGGCAGCTTGGTTGGTTTTAAATTATGTAGTTTGAAGAATGGTATTCATAGTGATACTTAGATGGAGGGTTGAATTCGATGACCATTAAGCTTTCATTTAACCCTTGGGAATTTATGACTTTGAAGCAGAGTGTTCATCATGCCAGATGCATACTGTCTGATTCCTACATCTAAAGGCAGAGAAAATGCTAGAGGAAAAAAAGTATGAATTTTCACTGTTTTTGTATATTTATTTATATATATATATATATATATATATATATATATATATATATATGCCTAAAATGAATGACTTAGAGTCACTTTATGAAAGAATTTTACGTTGGATTTTTCCAGTTACAAGACTACTGCCTATCAGTCAAGTAAAGTAGCCTTCCTGATAATTTTTACTACTTCGATTTCATCTTTTATCTTTTTAAAAAATTATTTTATAACCAGATTACCTAGATTATTTACTTAACTCTTCTCGTATGGCTTCTTGTCTATTTTAATTTGCCACCTACATGAATGAATTTTCTCTTTCTCTTTCTCCTCTATTTCCATTTCAGAATCCTCTACCTTCATTCAAGAATTAAGCCAGAGAAAGTGGTTACACAAATGAGGGTGAAATGTACCTGATCCAGTTCTTGGAAGACTTCTCCTGCTAATGCTATTAACAACACATTGCTAAAGAGTTCAGATTCAAGATTGTTCCAAGTGCAGGATTCCTGGCCAAAAGAGTCAAAGAAAGTCTTACCCTAAAAGAGAGGCAAATTTCAGCCAAAAATTTAGAAGAGATGTTTAAATGAACAAGAAGCTGTGTGCATCATGGCAAACAGGTTATCAGCAGAAGGATCAGACAATAAAATGAATTAGTGTAATCCCTTTAGCAAAAACAACTCATCAACAGAGTTCTTCCAGATTGGGGAAAAAAAGAAAAAGAAAAAAAAGCAGCATGAGCTATAAAGGAGTTGGGGCATGCAAACTACTAAGCAGAAAATATATGCTTGATTTTTTTTCCTATGAATTTCTACTACCTTTACCTGCTCTAATTACTAGGATGATGGTGGTTACTTTAGTAATTTATGGTTATGGTTTTGCCAAATATTTCCCTGCACAGGGAAGATAACTGGCAAATAAAGCTGACACTTTCTAATCAATATAGATTGTCTGATTGTGTGGTCAGGAACAGCCGTCACAATGGTATGCTTTTATAAAGAGCACATCTAACAAAAGAGAAAGCAGAACATCCCCACTGAAATGAATAGTCAAGGACACCATTGGGCATCATCATAAAGGAAGAAGTAGGAAAAGTATTTAATCTCACTTTCAACTTAAGAAATGCAAATAAGGCAGCAATAAAGATCCCTTCCCATCTGTATGGCAAAGATGAAAAACAATAATATAGAGTGTAAGTAGAGGGTAGGATATGCAAAACAGATCCTCTTGCATATTGTTAGGGAGATGATAAACAAGACAATATGGCAATCTTAAATATCCTAAAAAGTATATCAGCTTCTTTCAGAAAGTTATTTATTAAGGATACAATTGGATAAGATTGTTCCCTGGAATGCTGTTCATAAAACTACCTCCTCCTCCTCTTCTTTTTGTTTCTTTTTAATTTTCACTTCTGTGTTTTCTATTTTTTTCTACAATAATTTTGGGGGGAATTTTTTAAACTCTAAAATTTAAAAAGATAAGCAAAAGCTTATCTTCCCCTATGAGTACCCTGTTTTCCTTATATCCTTTCACATTTTTAATAATACTTTGTGGGGGCTGGAGTTGTGGCTCAGTGGTAGAGCACTTGCCTAGCATGTGTGAGGCACTAGATTAGATTCTCAGCACCACATATAAATAAATGAATAAAATAAAGGTCCATCAACATCTAAAAAAAGTTTTTTAAAAAATAATATGTTTTGTGGTACTCCTTGAACAAGCAGTACCCAAAGCAGGCCTTCTTATATAAGGCCTTATTGTTGTTTTGCTGCTGCTGCTGCTAAATTTAAAGAATCTTTCCTTGGTGATCATTTTCATAATGAAATTAAAGTGTCTCCCAGTACTTCAAAGATTTTGCTTTTTTTTTCTTTTGGTGATGCTACTGGTAATATCCACAACTTGCTGGGAAAGTTATCTGTGTGACCATATTCCTGACTTAGCAGTCTCACTTCTCTGTTAAATGAAAGCTCAAAAGTTCTGTTAAGTCAGGAAAGGTAAACCTAGATCTGTGCAGGGCCCAGCACAATAAAATTTCACTAAAAGTCTCTGAGTAGGGACTGGGAATGTAGCTCAGGGTCACAGCACTTACTTACCATGCAGCACGCAGTAGATACTGGGTTCCATCACCCAGCATGCCAAAAAAAAAAAAAAAAGTTTGGATGGGTACATAGTTCACAAAAGTCCCCACATAAGCTTCCTCCTTCCCCTGCACTGGGGAGGGATCAAAAGTTGGAGAGTGGGAGGACAAGGGATGGGGAGGTAGCTCAGTGGTGGAGTGCACAAGGCTCTGGATTGAATCTGCAGTTGGGGGTGGGGAGCAGGAAGAGAAGAAGAATGTAATTGAGTCTCCTTGGGAGAGAGACTGATTGGGACTGGGGGAGGGGGGGAGGAACCGGCAACACCGGGTCAACCGCAACGCTAAAGAGAGGTATAGGTTCCAACAGGTGCACAGGCTCAGACTCCCCTGATAGAAAACCGGCTCTCCAGAAACCATCTGGGGCACCTTCCTTCTCAGGGTGGCTAATTTGCTTTCACCCTAGTTCCTTAGTAAATGGTTCACACTCAATAAGAATCAGTACGAGTTTTGCGCAACTAATTTTTACAGGCAAACAGGGCCACCTGTAACCTACCAGGCGCACCCACAACGGAACTTGAGGGCATCTCACGCCACTGTTCTCAGCGGCTTGGAAGCAGGAATACTGCTCTGGCCCCATCTGCACCCTGTGCGGTGGTCTGCTTTTTCTACAATGCAGGGGAAGGACTCGGGGTTTGAACTTGAGCCCTACGAGAAATTAGAACTCTCCATATACTCTAGAGTGAGCCACGACATCACTATTTCCAAGTAGAGTCTTGAGGTTCCTAAGTTATCAGCATCTCCAATCTTTATGGAGAATCACATGCCTTCCTGCCTTGGGAAACTCAAACCCCAGAACCTCGGCCTTATGACTACCAGAGGTGCCCTGGCCCGCTTCCATTGCCCTAGCAGTGGCCCAGCCACAATGTCTTTAGCTAGAGATTGAAATCCTCTAGAACCAACCGCTGGGCACCCTCGATTGGAGCAGAACCTTGCTGCCACTCTTTTCGAAAGCAGCATCCCTCTCGGATTTTCATCCTTTGCGGCGCCCTTGGGATAAGATCTGAGAAATGCGCCCCGGGCCACAGGCAGCAGAGGAGGCGGGGAAAGAACAACTTTCACTCCGCCCTCTAACCACAAGGCCCGAGTGCAGCGGCCTCGGTAGGGTCGGGCTCTTCTCCTTCCCCAGCCGGGATCCCAAACCCGAGCTGGCCCAGGAGCTGGCAATGGAAGGAGGGGGAAGGAGGCAAGAGGTGCTTCCTTCTCTCCCCAAGCCCCACCAGATGCTGGAAAAGCAAACAATAGGGGAAACGTGGAGAAACAAAAGGCCATTCGACACGATCTCAGTGGCTCGGTCGCCGGGTCCCTGCGGAAAGGGTTATGGGAGGGGGTCAGGAATGGGGATTGGAGCGATCTGGAATGGTTTGGGGTCCCCTGGTAGCGTCGGGCGCCAGAAGTCAACCATTCGCTCCAATCCCCGCTCAGGGGTCCAAAGGTGGGGTGGGGAAATCAAAGAAAAGTTTAAGGGTTTCCACCATCATCGTGCAGGGAAAGGCAGGGGCTGTAATTCCCGATGTTTGACAGTTGGCCTAAGAGTTCAGTAGAATTTGTACGTCCTATATACCCTCCTTCCCTCTGTGAAGCATCAACATCCCGTCAGCGGGCAGGGGGGCTAGGGAGCCACCCGGTTGAGGGTGCAGAGTTTCCTACTCACTCCCAAATCGAGCCACTTCACTCAAGATCAAGCCGCCCAAAAGCTGTCCCCCTGCTCAGACGCACTTTTGTAAAAGTTTGTCTTCCCGCCATCCACAGCCCAGCGCGCACCCTGCAGGCATAAGCGATTCGGAATGGCATCGGGATAGATTTGCACCCTAAAAGGAAGATTTTCTTGGCATATCTTTTAAAATAAAGGCCACGGACCCCTGATTAGAAACTGGACCCACGTTCCTGCCCGGGAAGTGCGCACCGGGAGCCGGCCAGAAGCCGAGACTCAGGCACTGTTTAAAGAGGGCTCCGGCCCCGGAAGCCCGCGGGAGGCGGCTAGAGAGCGGGTCCACCACCTCCAGGGTGCCTGTTGCACCGGCCCCAAGTGCGCCCCACACCTCTGCCGCCTGGACGCAATCAGAAGCGAGTTGCTGCGGGATTGTACCACCTTCCCTCGCTGGGAGCGGGGTTCTTACCGTGGGGTTTTACCTTCAGCCTGGGGCCCTGTCGGCTCCCTTTGCCGGGTCAGCAGTAGCAGGAGCAAGAGAAAGAGGGTGAGCTCCAGGAGAAGGGGCGACGTTTGCCGATCCACGCGAGGGACTTTCTGGTCCGCGCGCTGGGCTCCGGCTGCAGTCTCCGCGGCTCCAAAGCAGCCCCCACTTGCACCCAGCACGCCGCACAACCCTCCCGGGCTCTACTATCGCCACGGGGCGCTGAGCAGGGACCTCTGGCGGCCGCCTACGGAAAGGCAGCTACGTGGGGGAGAGAAGTCAAGTCGCCTTTAGAATCACCCTCTCTCCAAAAGATTTGGAACACGGACAGTCTAAGAGAGCACCCAACCATGCAGAAAGACACAAACCCTGGTGGCTAGGGAGGCAAGAATGATGTCGGTTGGGCCCACGATGGCCATTTCCAAGGCACCCAAAAAGGAACAAAAGGCTCACCTTTTTTGAGATTTTCTGACTATTGAAAAATGCCACAGACACAGAATGGAGCAGTAATCATTGGGAAATACTTTGGAATTTCAGCAGATTAACTAGAACAAGCTGGGAGCCATGGAAAAAAATATGAACTTTGAAGCAAAACTCACACAGCCTTCCACTCTCTATTTGTGTGATCTTGGTCTACCTAGGACCTTTAGGCCTCAGTTATTCTCCTGTGTAGGTTGAGGGGAGAGGAGAAATATGTGCTTCCCAGGGCAGACAGGGAAGTTGTTGAGAATAAACTAAATATGAAAAATATTCTTAGTTCATAGAAGTTGTCTAATATGAGCTTCCTGCCTTTCTGAATGAAAGAATTGGATCTTCTATTATCTTTCTATTCTTCTTATGATAGCATCTTAATACATATTTTTACATTTTACAATTTTTACTTTACAGTTTAAGGAGGTGTGGAAATATAGTAAGTAGAATCTAAGATATATAGAGAAAATATATATCCTCCTCTTTTTGAGGAGGCTGAAAAAGATTTTTCCAGGTCTACTAAATGAGAACCTCTAAAATCACATATTTTGCAATATCAAGTCATCTTTGATATTGCAAGAATAATTCAATGAGTAATCACAGCCCAGTGAGATCAACCTGGATTAAAGGATTCTATGTAATTCTGTGTCATTTGGGCAATAAGATGTTGTTGACTGTGGATATAAAACTCAAACATAATGGAGGAAAACTACCATATACAAAAGTGCAGTCACCAAGCAAGGTTTCTTCTGTCACTGAGGAAGAGAAGCTTATTTACAAGCTGCCCCAATCTTTACACACTCAAACCCCCATCACTGCATTGAAAGTTTTTTTGGGCACTGTGGCAAGCAAAGAGCTTATCCATCATGCAGAACAGTTAGGATGAAACTCTTAATTACATCACTTAATCCTTATCAGTCCTTCTCTCACTCATTAGTCCCTAATTCAGAGGAGAACGTTAGCTCCTTGAATTCTCATTACATGATATTTTTTTTCCTGTCAAGAAGAAAGGATAAATAAGATTCTTTGACTCAGAAACTAAAGTAGAACCTTGAGATACAACTTTTGCCCTTAGAGGTAGGGCTCATCCCTCTGGGCACAGATAAGCAGGTCATGGACAGAGCTGAGGGCATCCAATTTGACCAACAAACATTAGCAGAACTGTCTGTCTCTCTCCTTGGGCTTCATCCTCACCACTAGGGAAAAAAGAGATTTTATCCCACTTCTATCCCTGTAGTGGCTCCTTTCCTGGGGAGGACTGGCAACTGGGAGAAGTCTTTGGTGTTCCCTGACTAACTTTCACTTCACCCACTCTTGGATCCAGCTGCTCTGCCTGTGACCAGGTGACTGGAGGAGGAGGACAGCTCTACCTTCAGCATCTGCTCTGAAGGGCCATCATTCTATATTTAAGCCCTCCTTGGTCCCTCTTGGCTACATCTCTATCCATGCTATGAAATGCTCCTTGGCTCCCAGAAATGCCAGGGAAGTTTCTACCTTAGACCTTATCATTGTGACCTCTGCTACAGCAGTTTTTCTGATGGCTCAGCTGCTTCATGGCTCAGATACTCTCTCGCTTCCTTCAGCTCTTTGCTCAAAAGTCACAGAGGCCTCCAGTTTCAATCTTATTTAAAATCACAATCATCCTTTTCTTCTGACACACCCTGGCCACATACCTTACTCCAGTTTTCTCCATAGAATTTTCTGTAATCTGATATACTATATATTTTACTTGTTTTGTTCATTGCCTATATTAGTAATCTGTGGCTGCAGAACAACATACCACAAACTTACTGGCTTAAAACTATGCAAATTTATTACCTTATAGTTCTGGAGGTTAGAAGTGCAACATAGCTCTTATTGGACTAAAATCAACATGTTGGCATAGTTGCATTCCATTCTGAAGTCCATAGAAATGATCCATTTTCTTGTGTTTTTGTTGTTATTGACCAGCTTCTAGAAGGTTGTCCATATCCCTTGCCTCCTTTTTAAAGCCAGCAATGACACGTTGAGTCCTTCTTTTACAGCATCACTATGACTTTTCTGCGTCCCTCTTTCATTTTTAAGGACTGTTGTTGTTGCCCTGGGTCTGTTGGCTTTCCTTCTCTATGTTAAGGACAGCTGATTAGCAAACTTAATTCCATCTGTGACCTAATTTTCCTTTGCCCTGCAATATAACATATTTGCAGGTTATGGAGATATATTGTGTAGTCTCTAGGCACTGTTATTCTATCTACCCATGCTTACTTTTTCTACTAGAATTAATGTAAACTCTAAGAGACAGGGACTTTGGTCTATTTAGTTCATTGCTATATCCACAGATTAGCTCAAAAAATGTATAGACACTTGATATTGACTGAAATGTGTTCCCTTGAAATTGATGTATTAAAGCCCTGACTCCCAGTGTGATGTTTTGGGGGATGTAATTAGGGATTGATGAGGTCATTTGAGGTAGGCCCTTATTATAGGATTAGTGGCAGCAACAGCAGAGGGAGGAGAAGGGAAACAGGAGGAGAAGGAACAAGGGGAAAGGTGAAGAGGAAAGTAGGGAGAAGGAGGAAAAGGAAAAAGGAGCCCCTTTCCACCATGTTAAAGACACAGGAAGAAGGCAGCCAGCTGCAAGCCAGGAGGGGCCCTCACTAGAAATCAAACTGACTGGCTCCCTGATCTTAGACTTTCGAGACTCCAGAACTGTGAAAAATACACATCTGTTTAAACCACCCGGCCTGCGGTATTTTGTTATGGCAGAATAAATGGATGAATAAATTATTGAATTAATAAATAAGAGACCTCACTGTAAGCATTGCAAATGTTTAACATCTACAAGGTTCCCAAAATATGTCAGATGCTTGCTAAATACTTTACATGAAACAGCTCATTTAATTTTCATGAGATCCCATGTGGTAAGTACAGGTGACTATAGGCTAGAAAGTTGAAGTAACTTGCCCAAGATCATGTAATTAGTAAGCACGTAGCCAGATTTTACACTTGGCCTTGTGACCTGAACTCATAGCTGTAAGCCTCACACTGCCCTGCCACTGTTGTGTGTCATTGGGCAACCTGGATCTTGCCCTCACAATGCTTAGGCTATAAGAACAGCAAGAGAAACACAAAGAGCACTGGTTCAAGAGAAGATGGGGGTGGGTAAGATCTTTTTTTTTTTTTAAAGCCCCAATAAATGTACATGGAACACAGACACAGGAAAACAAAAGGGCTGAAACGATTGTGCAGAGTTTTAGGGTAGATGAAGTATTTGAGCTGCCCTTCGACCTTGAAAATGGGGGACATTGCTGGAGTTAGGTTCAGATCATTGAGATAAAGAGAACCACAGAGAAACATACAGAAAGGAAGAAAAAATTGAGACGTATTCTGGAAATAGAGATTAATTTAGTTGGTATGAGGACCAGGCAAGTATATAGATGATAAGGGCTGGGGTCCCAAATGCTAGGCAAAAGATGAAAGGAAATTTAATGATTCTTGTTAGCAGTTATCAATAGGGAAAAATTACCTGCAGCAACTGCCAAAGTCATGTTCAAGCTGTTAACTCAAAAAGCAATAAGTTGAAGAGAAAAATCTTCTTGCTGGTTAAAATGTTTTTAAAGAATGTTCACACTGTTTTCCAGGAAGACTGAGGCAGGAGGATTGCAAGTTTGAGGCCAGTCTAGGCAACTTAGTGAAACCCTGCCTCAAAATTAAAACTATTTTAAAAAGGGGCTGGAGATGTCTCTCAGTGGTAGAGTTCCCCTGAATTCAATCTCCAGTTCTGAAAAAAAAAAAAAAGAAGAAGGAAAAAAGAAAACTGAGGGAGGGGCGGTAGCAATTTTGAACCAATAATTCTGAGTCTAGAGTAAAATCTCATATATCTTAGATTTTAAGGTTCTAAAAGAGCAGAAATGGACAATAAGGGTATGTAGCCCGTTCCTGACCTCTGGACAAGCATTTTATTTTCCCATTTCCATTGCATAAGTGAAGTATCCGGTTGAAACAATTGAATTCTCAAGATTTCAAAACTACCAAGACAGGGGCATTGACTCCAGATCTTATGTACGTAAGTGCTCTGTGTGTTGTGTCTTCATATATATATGGAAAAGGCCACATTTGTCTGAGATGAAGTTGTTAGCATTCAACTGACTTCTCTCCGGGTTCCTGTGGAAGAAATCTGAGGAATTCATGGATCTTAACTGCAAGCTCTCCCAGGGAAGAGAGGCCAGGTTCATCTGAAAGATACCAGGGAGACAAGGTGGTGTGGTGATTAAGGGGGTGGCCTTCAGGGTCAGAGAGACCCAAAGTAACTGAGTCTAACTTCTCTAAACCTTAATGGCCTCATCTTATAAAATGGGGATATCAATAAAAGTAGTTGTATGAATTTAATGAAGTAATGCATAAAATGTGCCTGGCACAGTGCCTGTCCCATGGTAAGGATCAAGGCATGCCACATGTTGTTCTTTCCCACATAATTCTCACACCACCCATAGGTAGGTCCCCCCCTTGCGAGGGTAAAAGACCCTAGCACAAGCTATAATAGTCACACTGAATCTGGAAGCTTCACTGTCCCTTGGGATGTTAGTCTCTGGAATTGAGAACAAAAAGAGAGTATTTCCAGCTAGTTTGGTATTGAATGAATAACATTCATACTTCTCACCCATTTCTATCATTTTCAAATTATACATTTCCTCTAAAAGGAAAGCCACACTGGTCTTCAATGGTATGTGAGCAAAAACCCCCAAAGATTCTGTTACCAAGCCACTTCCT